TTTATTATATTAAAAAGTTTAATAACAAATATAAATTTAATAAATTTTAATAAAAAAATTGGTATTAGGCGCAAAAATAATTAGCCATAATATCATTTAGATATAGATCTTTATGGATCAGCAAAATTATTATTAATAAAAAAAAAATAATAAAAATTTCATCCAGATTCCGGGTCAAACCGGATATTTTTCATCCAGTTTATAATCCGGATGAAACCCGTAAAAATCCAGATATTCAAAAAAAAAAAAAATCCGGATCAATCCGGATTGATCTGGATACGGGTCGAGGCACTACAACCACAGATACATTAGAAAAAAGTCAATTGCATCCAATATATATTACATTAGGCAATATCCCAATATGGCGTCGTAATAAACAAGATGCAAAGCAACTTTTGGGATATTTACCAATTTTAGAAGCTGCAAATAAAGATCTAGTTCGTGATACCTTTCATAAATCTTTACGTCATTTACTAAAACTGATTATTTTATTAAAAGATGGTATAGACCTTTTTATAAATAATGAAAATACCTGGTTTTATCCTAGAGTTTCAACTATTATTGCAGATTGGCCAGAAGCCGCAAGTTTTTGTTTAGTTTATAAATCCTCCAATTCAAGCCTTCCATGTCACTCCTGTTTAATTAAAAGGGACAATATTGCAAATATAGACTTATCGGTTAATGATGTAATACTAAGAACTCATGATGAAATGCGTAAATATTTTGAAATTGATACACAAAAATCTGTTTGCATAGAATCTGTATATAATTTTTTTTGGGATTTGCCGTAAGTATGCAAAAGTAGAAATAATTATAATAACATATATATATATTAATTATAAATATTTATATTATCAAGGAATATAAATATCTACTTGGCTACTGTTCCTGACAGAATGCATCATTTAGATTTGGGTTTATTTTGTTATCAAATTATCTTCATGTGCGATATCTTAAAATTGCAACATGTTAATGGTAATAAATTAGTTGAAGAAGTAGATCGCCGTCTAGCATCAATTCCACATTTTCCTACCATTAAAATTTTTTCCAATGGACTGCAGTCAATTGCAAGATTAACTGCTAATGAATATCGAAGTTTGATGAAAGTCATGATATTTGTTATTGATAATTTATATGATGAAAATAATAACGAAGTAGATAATTTTGTAAATAATGATGATCTTGCGAAATTGTACGAATATTGGAATGAAATGTATATTTTAAGTAGATATGAAGAATTTAGTGAAAGTGACTTGGAGAAATTTAATGTATGTATTAAAATTTTAGTAAAATTGAAAATTTAAATTAAATAAATTAAATTAACATTTAAATTTTAGGATGCAATACATAGATGGACCCGGATGTTTGTCAAGGCTTTTAAATTTGTTTCTCCTTCCAATTTGAAGTTGTCTAAATTGCATTCATAGGTTTATCACATTATTGACTCAATACGATCTTATGGCACAATAAATGGCTATATCACAGAAACTTACGAAAGTCTTCACAAATATTTCGTTAAAATACCCTACCGAATTCACAGGTCGAAAGGGCACCATTGTCCAAAATTCAAAAAATGCAAATTCCCCATTTTCCTGAAAAATGGTGGGAAATTGTGGAAAATGCTGCATTACGTTGAGCAATTTTTTGGAATAGCATTGTTACATATTGGTCGAAATAGGACAATTCGACCTAAATTTAACCAGGTCGAATATAGGTTGAATGACGATCTAACCTGTGTCAAATTAAGGTCGAATTTTCGGACGCATTTAAGGTGCCAATCGTCTCAAATTCGGAAAGGATATTCGGCTAAAATTAGACTCAAATTCGGAAAGGATATTTGGCTAAAATTAGACCTATATTAGGACGTTATTACATATTTGTTCGACTCTAAAAAAAACTATATTCGACTACTATATGTAACCCGAATATTATTAATAAATAGAGTTTTCAAGGACGAATAATAAAGCATAGTATAAGCAAATAAAACCCGTTTATTTTATATTTTATATATATTGACGTATAGTAATATAATTATATAAATCAACCCATGTACCAACCATATTAAGCCAAAAAAAGAAATATAAAATATACTAATAATACCATATAATAAAAAATAAACCCAATAAACCAACCAAAAAAAAGAAATATAAAATATATTAATTATATTTGTCGGCTTCAAAGATTTCATAAATTTCCTCGTCTTCTTTTGCTTCTTTTGTGTCTTTTTCTTTGCCTTTTTGACTCCTTTCGGCTCTTTGTTGCTAATATGATATAAACAAAATTAATTAGCGATATTTGCGATGTAAAAATATTAAAAACAATTCAACTTACTGTCGTCGAACTTTCACCAATCTCATCCAAATCTTCGGGTCTAATCGAATTCATTTCCGCTGAATTTAACAAGAAATCTGAATATGGTTCCGTTAAATTTGGCTCTATTGGCTCACAATCTTCATAAGATTGAATCAAATCATCAATCACATCATCAGCCACGTCATATTCGCTAATATCGTTTGTTTCATTAGTTTCATCAGTTTCGTACATTTTCGCTTTATCGAGCGCCCATTTGGGCGCATTCTTGAGAGGTTCACTAGACGTAAAATACATGTCATCATCATAAATTCTCTCTCTTTGCTTTTTTGCGTGTTGAATATATTCTGCTTCAGGGTCCAATACGTTTCGTAATAGGTGTTTTAACTATTTAAAACAAAAATAAACTTTATATATCGAATAAATATTAAAATAGGTTAATAGCAATAATCACTTTAATATCTTGTTTGAATGCCATTCCCGATCGTATACATGCAGGAACCGCTTGTTATTAGGCAATTTCTGTCTTGATTCGTCTTCGGAATCCAATTGCTCAATCGAATGACAATCATTCTGTAGGAGTATTGGTAATAATTCATCTTTATCGAATTCCTGTAT